GCTTTCCGTATACTTAACCCTTTTTCACACCATTACTATAACTAGATCTTTGCCATTTCGAGTCTTCCTTTTATTTATTTATTTATTTATTTATTTATTTATTTATTTATTTATTTATTTATTTATTATTTATTTATTTATTTATTTTATTCTGTTCATTTAATTTTGGATTTTACTATTATCTTGAATTGCATGCAAACACACAAAGCGCAACAAATAAGACTTAATTTATATATTTCAGCTAAAAAGGGGGACTAATATAAAAAAACGGAGGGAAATCCATGAAACAGACTTTTTTTTAACTATTTTAAAACAGAGAAACCTAAACTAAAAAATATTTTTCAATTGTATCAGGCATTATTCATATTAATGTCTGTATCGAAAGATTGCACGCTGATATTTAGGAAAGAACAATTTCTGTTTTAAGTTTACATTTAAGATACCCCTATGCGGTGGAAATCATAGCTTTTAATAAAAATTACACCATTAGACGCGGAAATCATTTAGGAAAAAAATGATATATAATTCAAGAATATTAAGTGTAAATATAATACCGTCCGTGTGATTATCACGGCACTACCCCAAACCGTGTGATAATTACGACCCTGCGTAATAATCACACGCGTGGTGATAATTACGCGACACCGGCACTATTACACTAAGTAAGAAATTCATGGTAGTTTTTTTGGGGGCTTTGATAAAAGTCATGTAGGCATTTTATCATTAGATCTTGATAAAAAATGTTGTGTAATAGTTTTGTAGTTTGGTGTTTAATAATTTTGGAGTTTGATACTTCTTGATAGGAATAAATATATATAAACACGATAAAGGAAATAGTAACTTTGAATATAGTTGTTGAAAGTTGCATTGATATTGTACATTAGGATAAAGGGAAATAAAAATTATAATTTTGATATTAAATTGTTTTTGCTATTATTAAACAGAATATTATTATGAAATTCTGATGATTTGTTAAAAATTCGATCGATATACTTTGAGAAATGTTAAAATCATTTAGACAGTTATATTGTGAATTAAATATAAAACTCCTATTTGCATAGTATTGAGATTGAGACAATGTGAATATTTATGAATTAAACTAAATCTTATTACACATAATCGAATGCCATCAATCTGATTTGTTTTGTTATTACTGTTGCTAACATAAGTTTCATTTTATTGACTTTTTAAAATCCTAGATATTACGTTATTTTCAAAGCAATTTTCACATGATTTGGTTGTTTCTATATGCAACGAGAAAATGAATGTCATCCCACCTATCACCACTATAATGATTTGGAAAGATCACACCTTATGGCTGTGCACAAATCTTGTACAAATTTAAACGCTGGAAAACAATGTAACGAGTATACAACTCTAAATCACATCTTATAAAAATCAGAAGACCTGAAGTCTGGTACATTTAAAGGGTTTGTAACAACAAAGGACGGTGCAACAATTAGAAATGGCATGGAGAGATAAACATATAGATAGTTTCTGGACCTCTGATGACCGTATTCTTTATAAAGCTAAACCCCAAGATAAAGTTCACTCCATCAGACAATAAGGATATCGATCATCTCCAGCCGGACCCATCAGACCAAGACGTAGCCTTGTCACACTTCACCAACAACATTGCTCAGTAAGATTAAAGACTTTAAATAGACTATTAAAATTCGTCTATAGATAAACGTTGTGTGAACATTACACTTTATCTATTGTTCTTCTGAAACTCATAATTATCAAGGTTATCTCCCTTCCATGTCACTATAAACAAGTATAAATACATCTGATAATGATATGTGTACTGTACCCCCAATGCTTGTTTTGTCCTATTTATACATCACATTATGTATTAAAGTCACAAACACACTATTTTATATCCTGAACAATATTAATTACAATATTGATATACATATCACCAATTTATTTTTGTATATCCATCATTCAACAGAAATCCACTTTAACACAACACAGATTTCCGTGTTCAAATATGAGCAGTTTAATAGAAATATAGATGTACGATTAAATTAGTTGTCACAGTAGGTTTTTTGTTTTTAATACCTTAAAATGTGCCATGTTTTAACAAAACAAAATACCTTTTTTAAGAATTTTTAATCAGTCCAATTATTTAAACTGAAAAACTGGATTATACTTATATTGGAATTTTATGAAAGATTTATGCAGATTTCATTTGGCCTAGATTCTATATATAACTATGGCATAAAATATGAAATACCTTCTGTATAACCTCTTCTACTCAGCCCACTTTCTTCACTTTTCCTCTATAATAATCATTTGCTTTATCACAATGAGTATTCTATATAGCGCGAAATATTTGATCATGAAGTCTTGTAAACCTGGGACATACTTATCGTATGTCCCAGTGTAAACACACTCTTACTTGTATATCGCACAAATGCGAATTATATATATCATGTCAAATATGTATTTTCTCGAATATTGGCCGTTAAGAGCAGTTATCTAATGACAATTGTTGATTTATTTTATAAATACGTGCCGACAAAAAAAAATGATGAAAAAAAAATCAACAAAATGGCAACAAATATAATGGGGGTCATCATACGTACGTTTCCGTAGAAAGCCTGACTTGTATATTCGGGCACCTTTGTGAGGATGCTGAGCACTATCTATTTTGTCCTCCATTATTTAAACCTCAGAGACTCATATTCTTAGCAGAAACCAGAATTTTTCATCCACTTAATGTTGATCTGTTATTGTAGGGTAGCAATTCTTTAGATGTTTATAATAATGAACAAATATTTGCGACTGTCAAAACTATCAAAACTACTAACCGTTTTCGAAACACCTGATTTTTGTGTAAATCAGTCGGTTGTATTGATCTTAATAACCTGGTACCATAACAAGTAACAAACATGTTTATGAAGAATGTCTAAGATGGCACAGATACGGTGATACACAGGCGACATGTATGTGTTTTAATTTATATCATTCGCACGAGATACTATGTCGTGGCTACGAGTTACTAAGTCGTGTTGAGTGGTGCGCACGAGATAATTGCTAAAGCTTTGGATTATTGTGATCGCCTAAATGAACATTTGTTATTTAGACTTTCTGAAAAAAATATAGTCACAGCTCCATGATAAGGTAAGGATGTTGATAATTTAAATTACAGCTAAGCGGATATAGTGTGCAAAATTAAAATATTTAGAAGCGTTGAATCTAGTATACAAAAAATCTAGCGGTGAATTGCCTAAAGGCGGAAACTTCAAATAGCTAAGGGAAATTACTCTACATTGAAGTAAAGAAAAAGAAAATTGACATGAAACAACACCGTTATATTCTATGAAAAGCTTTTAAAAAATGGTTCTTACACCTACTATGGTAAAAGTGATATTCATTTCTAATATGAAATAATGACCTGACATAGAAATTAATTGTTGTAGTCTGTAGAAGTAACAGAAAATTATTTCATGAAATCATTCGTACTCAAATAATTACGTGTCTACTGTAAAATGTTAATCTTGTCCATAACATTTAAGGTATAAAGGTGTAATGTAGTTTTCGACTTTTTGGCATCACACTTTGTTGGTTAAGTTTTTGTATGCAAGTTTGCAAGTTGGTACCTCCAAACTACTGTACTGAAGGGAAAAGATTGAAATTTCACACATTTATTCCAACTTGGATTTAACACTGTTTAACAGTAGTCAAAATATATTGACGTGCCAAAGCTTGATTCAGAGATATTTTCGTTCTGGGGCAGAATCTCGCTTGTAGAGGTGAGATATTGCCCAGACACGAAAATAGCACAATATCTCTTCGCGCAGTACAATTAGTTGGACTATGTTTAACGAACCGTGTTTAACAGGTCTAGGATTTCATGATATTTATGAACTGTCTGTAAATTTATTGACCATCTATAATTCTATAGATTTTTTATCTGTAAATTTATCAACATTAATTACGAAAATAGTATAAGTTGTATTAAATTCAAAACCACAGGTTATAAAGAATAAGATTACTGATAATGATTATATGATTAAATGAAACAGTACTTGGGTCCTATATATTTACCGGACAATCAGTTTACCGGACAAAAGCTATTACTGCTGAATAGTGCTTTATTTTTTGCTTCGATTCAAAAATCATACATTCTGATTTGTACACACACTTTCTATTTCAAAGTAAATAACAACAAAACCAGTCTCAGATAAATATTGTTGATTCAGATCTTTATCTACTAACATGCCCTTTTGTTGACTAGTTATTTCATGACCTGGTCATGCGGGGGAATTATCTGTTCTGCGCAGGCCCGAATATGTAGACCCTTAATGTTTTTTTTTTAGAAAGGTTTTACTTTTAATTCTTTTCAACGTTACCTCAAGAGACAAACGTAACATATTTTAATGATGAAAGTAATTTTAAATTTAGTCTAAACATTATCTTGTTGTTGTCTTTTACAAAGAAGTGCGAATTAAAAAAACATATAAAGAAACAAGTTACGCCCATTGGAGGAACACTACATGAAATGTAAATAAAATTGATTTTATGGCTTTTGTAACATGCTACATGATGACCAAAGGGAATGGTATGACATAGAACAAAATTCCATTTAAATATTAAAATGTTTCATACGTTTAAGATTCGTTAAGTATCAATACGTTAATTGAGTTAATAGTGTTAATTTCAATATGACCCCATATATTGGCCTCTTCGTAACAAGCATGGCTGCAGTGTCTTGTTTTAGTGAGATACTGTTATTTTTTCAATAGCTTAACCTTGCCTTTCAATAGTTGTAGTTTCCATGCTGATTTAATATTTAAAGATTAATTTCAATTCAGGACTTACAAAAAAATTAAAACGCAATGTCTGGTAAATTGAGCTGTCTACACGAGTTTTTCTCTTTTTTAATGCCTTACTTTAAAGACACATTTCTACGGTCAAATGTTTAATTGCATGTTTGTCGAATTAATGTTTACTTGTATTTAGAACCCAAATATAATTTTGGGTAAAATTCCATTCTTTTTTATTGTTTTAGATAAAAGTTACAGCGAAAAAACATCATATTTTGTCCGGTAATATGTAGGATCACAGTACTGTATCATTGGATGGCAAGATTCAGAATACTTTGATGACTTTCAGTTTTCACTTTTAACAAAAATTTCAAAGTCATCATACAAAGTAACAAAGATGATCTTATCTCATTACCCTTGTTAATATAAACACTCAATATACAACTTGTTTTTGTATAAAATGTGGGTTTTTGTATAAAATTAAATACATTGAATATCTGCAGTGTCTACTCTAGGATTTGAAAAACAGGGGGGATTTTTATCGAATTGCAAGAATTTATTGCATTTGTTCATCTTTTCCCTTCTTTCTGTATGTAAAATTTCCCCCCTGCCTCTGAAAAAATAGGAGAGAATTCTCAAAAATATGAGTGAATTTCCCCATCCCCCCTCCTATAATAGACACTGTAAGTTTTTGGACTTAAAAAAAAATCTTGATAATTTCTAGTCTACAGTATCCATAAATTTAAGGACAGTCCATAAATATCATGAAATCCTAGACCTGTTCAATTTTTGGCAGAATAATGAGAGTTATGACCCATATTGAACTTACTAACTTACGTAAAAGATTCTAAATTTCTATATTCTCCATGCTCTTGTTATACTATCAAACACAGAGAACAGTTGAGCATTACTTGCCCTACTTACAGCTGTTGTTATAAATTCAAATTATCCGAAACAATTAAACCAATAATAATTGGTTATAACAGTACCCACAGGGGTAATTCTATATAGAATAAAAGCATATTTATAGGACCGCTGACATTGATGCACTTTCACTGATCTTGCTCTGCCTTTATTTATATTTGTATTGGTTTTTAATGGCATTTGCATGATATGAAAAGGTAATCAAAGACCAAGAAAGGAATATATACAATATTGGGAAATGCATCACAGTCTGTGGGTCTTTCTATTTGAAAGACCTTGCTTTCTGTTATGAATTCCTGTGTTTATTATTTCCAGTAATAAATTTTTATTTGAAGTAATTGATTTCTGTAAATAACAAAGTTGTTGTGGTGTAAAAAAGTGAGTAAATTTCTTTTTTCTAGGCTGCTGAAAGTACAGAAAGTGAAGGAAAGTCTGGATTTGACTCGTCAGATGAGGAAGAAGGAGAACTTGACCTGTCACCTTTTACATTGTCATGGTAAACTTATTCTTTCTTTTCTCAGTTGCAGTGTTTTTGTTTTTTTTTATACCAGTGGCTACATCTGGGACATACGTATGTCCCAGGCTACATGTACTTTTGAAACTTGTCAGTGTTTCTGTACAGTTGTTATTTTAATATTAATAAAAAATATGATGATATGCATTGCCTTTATAAACAGATTATCATAATCTACAAAGTCAATACCAGATAGTTTTGTTATGAAAAAATTTACGTTGAAAATACTTCCATTTTTTTAGCTCACCTGTCACAAAGTGACAGGGTGAGCTTTTATGATCGCTTTTCGTCCGGCGTCCGTCCGTAAACTTTTTCTTTAAATGACATCTCCTCATAAACCACTAAGCCAATTTCATCCAAACTTCACAGGAATGTTCCTTTGGTGGTCACCTTTAAAAATTGTTCAAAGAATTTAATTCCATGCAGAACTCTGGTTGCAATGGCAACCGAAAGAAAAAACTTTAAATATCTTCTTTTAAAAAACCCTAAGAACTAGAGCTTAGATATTTGGCTTGGAACATCATCTAGTGAGTGTCTACCAAGTTTGTTGAAATAAAATCCCTGGGGTCAAAATTGGCCCCGCCCCAGGGAGTCATTGATTTTCCCTATATGCATATAGTAAAAACTTAAAAATTCTTCTTTTAAAGAACCCAAAGAGCTAGAGCTTAGATATTCAGCATGAAACATCTTCTAATGAGTGTGTACCAAGTTTGTTCAAATAAAAGCCCTGGGGTCAAAATTGGCCCCGCCCCAGGGGGTCATTGATTTTCCCTATATGCATATAGTAAAAACTTACAAAATCTTCTTTGAAAGAACTCAAAGAGCTAGAGCTAAGATATTCAGCATGAAACATCTTCTAATGGGTGTCTACCAAGTTTGTTCAAATAAAAGCCCTGGGGTCAAAATTGGCTACGCCCCGGGGGTCATTGATTTTCCTTATATGTGTATAGCAAAAACTTAAATAATCTTCTTTGAAAAAACCCAAATAGCTAGAGTTTAGATATTTAGCATGAAACATCTTCTAGTGAGTGTCTACAAAGTTTGTTCAAATAATAGCCCTGGGGTCAAAATTGGCCCCGCCCCGGGGGTTCTTGATTTTCCCTATATGCATATAGTAAAAACTTAAAAAATCTTCTTTGAAAAAACCTAAATAGCTAGAGTTTAGATATTAAGTATGAAACATCTTCTAGTAAACGTCTACAAAGTGTGTTCAAATAAAAGCCCTGGGGTCAAAACTGGCCCCGCCCCAGGGGTGTCATTGTTTTTAACTATATGTGTGTAGTAAAAACTTAAAAATCTTCTTTTAAAAACCCAATGAGCTAGAGCTTAGATGTTTAGCATGAAATATCTTCTTATGGATGTCTACCATGTTTGTTCAAATAAAAGCCCTTGGGTGAAAATTGGCCCTGCCGGGAGGGAAGGAGGGCAGGTGAGATCATTGTTTTTCATTTTATGTGTGTAGTAAAAACTTAACATTGTGAAACATCTTCTAATGAGTGTCTTCCAAGTTTGTTCAAATAAAAGCCCTGGGGTTTAAACTGGCCCCGCTCCGGGGGCCTATATACAGGGGAGCGACCTCAGGGCCATCATGGCCCTCTTGTTTTTAGAAGAAACCAAAGAGGTTTATCATTTTCTCTTGATTTTTATGATAAAAATTGAATTTTTTATACAGGTTAGAACTTGGTACTGGAGATGGGCTGGACAAACTTGGCATCAGTGGACTACCTGGTATTATCCTTATGTTTGAAATCATTTACTTGATTTAAAATTAGCTGAAGTTTTACGTTTAATTTAAACATGTTTATAATACCGTTGTTACAACAAAGTGATAAGGAGGGTAATTTAAACTTAAGTCAGCTTGTCTGTCTGATTGTCAGGGAGTGTTTGTCTGAGGTATAACTAAAAAGTTATTGTTGGTATCATTTTGAAACTTCACAGATGAAAAAATCTCATTGAGAAGAAGAAAAGTGTATATAAATAAGAATGAGAGATTTTTTTGTGTGTAAGAAGCATAACTCTCTTTGTTTATGAGTTATTTCCCTTTGTTGATTTTCATACTTAATTTTTGTCTGGGGCATTTATAATAAAAAAATATTTGAGGTATCAATTTAAACTTTATATTCATACAATAACAGATTGATAACTTTTATTGAGTAGAAGTTCAGTGCTCAATAACCGTAACTATCTTTTAAAGAAAGGTACTTTTCTATATATGTAATATTTTCAGGATGTAAATTTAAAAATACCTGGAGAAGCCTTGAGAATGATATCAGTAAGTATCTATATAGTGTACATACAAATGCTTCAAAATCTTCAGTGTTTCAATTTCAAAGTTCTTTTCTGTGCATGAAATTGTTTTGACATATGAAACACATCATGGAGACTTACATAGAGGGTTGATGCTTTTAAGGAAAAATAAATTTGGAAAGCTTGACAAAATTTTGCAAACATACATACAAGCATTTGGAACCTATCCCTATTCAAGGTTCTACTTTTGTGTCAAATGAACAACAATGGATTAATGGATAGAACATTCTGATTCAGACATCAGGTTTTTCAATATTATTAAAGTTAATAGTGCAATATTTTACAAACATATTCTTATAATGATTATTAGGATATCTTACCTTTTAAAGTAGAATTATTTAAGATATGATTCATTAATAGTTATCTTTGCATCACTTACTTTACTGGTTGAAGAGATGACTCCGACACATAGATAAACCCGACACTTGGTTTAATTTTTCTATTTATCTTTTCTTGTCAACAAACAAGGACATGGTCACCTAGTAATAAAGGAGAAGGACAGACTGTGATGAGATTTTTTAAATTTGGTAAACTTTTAAATGTGTTTATGTTGACCACAATTTTTTGTTACAAAAACAGCCACAAAACATTCTTTTTACTTAACTTCCAGACGGTGGTTAGAATTGTCTTGAACACAGGGTAGTGACTTGGGAAAATTTCTTTAAAAATTTGTTAAATTATCAATAAGGCATAGATAAAGCGTATAAAATGTAAAAATAAATGATTAGTTCTAATTTTCAAGCTAGTATATACTTTAAAATTAAAGTGTCGACTTTATCTACTGTCAAGGGTTTAAAAGACCATGTTTCAGATACCTTATTCAGGACCTTAAGGAAGTACCAGTTTCCATTTCAAGAAAGGAAATTTGCACATGATTATAAAGGTTTGAACCTAACTTTGTTTAGGTGGGTAAAAATTTAAAATATAAACAAAAATAAAAAAGATATTTAAAATGAATAGTGATTTAGTGTCGGAGTTATCTCTCCAACCAGTATAGTATTACTATAACAAATGTAAAATTAAAAATTCTTTTTATGATAATTTTGATTTCTCACCTTAAAGTAAGACAATTATATCTTGATAAAATATGAATAAATGATTTCCTTGCTTCACTTTCTTAAATCAAAGAAAAAATGAGCTGCGTCACGACAAAACCAACATAATGTGTTTGCGACCAGCATGGATCCAGACCAGCCCGCGCATCCGCGCAGTCTGATCAGGATCCACGCTGTTCGCTTACAGACCCTATAACAAGTAAAGAAACTGATAGCGAACAGCATGGATCCTGATCAGACTGCGTCTGGATCCATGCTGGTCGCAAACCCATTTTGTTGGTTTTGTCATGACACGGCTCAAATGTTTTCACCACAGAATGCCTAAAGTCAGAAGGTGTAGATGAGGTGTTTTCATTATGTACAAAGGGAGAGTTAAACAAGTATCGTGTTCCATGGTTACTCAATGAAATGACAGGTGCCGATATTGTTGTACATCATTACCCATTCCCAGACGGACAGACTCCAAACATGCCAAGTCTGCTGAAAATGGTTGATGAGATACAAGTGTCAGTCCGTAACGGAAGAAAACCTTTGGTGCAGTAAGAAACTTTGAAATGTATTTTGAAGTATATTTTCCTTGAAATGTGCACTTAGTATTTATGTCATATAAATTATATATAGTTTTCTTAAAATCCTTTTATCCACTTTTATTTGGAATGTACATGTATATATATTTAAATATACATGTACACGGTTTGTTACTGTTTTTTTTTTCTTGTTTTTTTTTGTACTGGTAAAAATACTGACGCACATCAGTTCATGTACACCTAATATACACTGATTTAGAAATTAAAAAAAAGTTAATTGCTGCAGTTATGAGTTTTTTTCTCTCCCAACAGATACACTCTCAACATTATTGCAACATTTCTATTGTGACAAATACTGCCTATCATTACAGTTCTGGCATATTTATGGTTATTGTGCTATTTACTATGTAATTTCCTATTTTCTAGTTGTTTTGGTGGATTAGGACGGTCCTGCTTGGGTAAGTTAATGCATACATTTATATACACACCAATCTTTTGGTCCCCTGCCTTTTTGAGGAAAAAGGGGGATATAGAAATAGGCTTCGTCTGTCGGTCTGTCACATTTTCGTGTCCAGTCCATAACTATGGCATTTATCAAAGGAATTTGAAATAACATGGCATAAATGTTTGTTATAATAAGACAATGTGTCATGCGCAACAACTGGAACCTTTCCTACAAGGTCAAGATCACACTTTGTGATTAAATGTCAACATTGTCTATTTGAGTGTGTTTGTTGTGTCTGGTCCATAACTTTTGTACAAATGTTCACAATAATGAGAGGATGTGTCATGTGCAAAAACCATTCGCCTACCTTCAAGGTCAAGGTCACAGTTGGAGGTCAAAGATTAACATAGTCTGTTACAGGGTATATTTTGTGTCTGGTCCATAACTTTTTCATATAGATCAAGGGATTTTAAAATTATTTGGCACAAATGTTCACAATAATAAGACGATATGACATGCATAAAAACCAGTTGTCTACCTCAAAGGTCAAGATCACATTTGGAGGTCAAAGATTAACATAGTCTGTTTCCAGTGCATAACTTTCTCATCCATCAAGGAGTTTTGAAAATACTTGGCATAAATGTTGACAATAATAAGACGATGTGTCATGCACAACACCCGGACCCTTTTCTCCAAGGTCAAGGCCACACTTAGAGGTCAAAGCTTAACATAATCTTTTATAGGGTATATTTTGTGTGCAGTCCATAATTTCTTTTATTGTTTAATGGATTTTGAAATTACCCGGTACTTGGCACAATGACTGATGAATTGATGACTGTGCATGAAATATACCCTGTAACATATGATCATATGACCATATCCTGTATTAATTTAGTATTTGTCACATTTTGTGGTTTTGAAATAGTGATAGCAAGTATACAAATGTATTTCTGTTGACACATACAGAGGAGTTATTTCATTATATTTCTTTAATGAATTTATTGTGACTGGCATGTGCAGAAATAGCATTGATCAAAATTTTGTACTGAAAGTCCAGATCCATACTTAAATTTTTTGTAATAGTACAATTTTGTGTTTCATGTAAAATTCCCTTAGGCGGGTGAAGTAGGTTCAAAATTTGTTGTTATCATTTTTATCAAGCCTACTTGCAAGATAGCTAAGACTTAGTGGCTGTAGTGGTGGTTCGGTGTATAATGTGCATGCATTAGTGTTTCCAACCTTCTTTGTCCAAGTGATATGGACTCGCAAATATCTTCTAAGCTAAATTGTCAACCTCATTGAGAAAGGATTTATTGAATTAATATTTCAAAGCATCAATGAATTATTTATTTGAGATTTAGTATGTATAAATTGTTACTAACAGTTAAAAGTTTACATGTTACACTTTAAAATGAATATAAGAAGCATACAAAAAATTATTGTTTAATAATAATAATATTATTGTGTCTCCTAATTTGACAGTTGCAGTGTGTGCTATGTTGGTGGTAGATGAAAGTTTGGAACCACAGAAAGCTATAGATAAAATCAGAGAGTTAAGAGGACCAGGGGCTATACAGTCAGTGAAGGTAGGTATAGTTGAATGGACTCATAGACAGTAACTGAAAATAATTATGCCAGTGCCATTATTAAACAGTTATTGACAAGTGAGCCATGTAATATGATGTGATATTCATGGGCAATATGTCATATTGACTGAAGCAATAGCAGGGCAAATCACGAAACAGTTACAAGAAAAAATAAAATGGCTGACTTTATTTCTTTTCTTTAATGTAGCGTGATGTTACAATTGGAAGCATTCATTCTAAATATATTTAAAACATTATGTAATTAGTAAAGATTAGTATATAAATAACACATGGGTTGTGGGTAACAGTAAAAATATCATCCCGAGGAAAATACTGTTATCCGAGGCGTTTAACAGTATTTTACGAGTTATTTATTTTTTTACCCCGAACAAAAATACTGCGATGATCTGAAATTGTCAACTAAATCTAACTGTAACAAAAATAAACCAAGAGTAACAATAACTAAACTGTCCTTACCTTTTAAGTTTTAAGTGTACTTTAGGCCTACTTGAGAAGTTTTCTTTTTCCTTTATTCTTTATGCAAGTGATGATATCTACAAATCATAAACATACAATAAGCTAGGTTTTATTTAGAAAACAAAACACTAACCCATTTACACGGTTATGATCTGTCAAATCTGATCCTTCTGTTTCCAGAATATTCTTAGCATGGTTTTTTACAAAATAACGATGATATTCTATGTCTGTCCACCATCTCTGTAACGTTTCACTGATTAAAATTGTTAAATAATCCTTTGTTGCATGCATAAATCGTCTGCATGTTCCAGTTTGACACATTATTTACATTGCAAGTACTTCCGTTGAAAACGGATGTTCACTTTTTGACTATTCAACAAAAAGATATTTTATACACGAAAAGCACACCAGGGTGCAAACAACTAAATTGTATGGGTGTCATAGTTACTCCAGAGAAGAAATTGATGTCCTATCGGGGTTTAAAATAAGAATGAATCGAGAGAGAAATGGCGGCCATTTATTTCATTTTATTTAGAAAATAGACCACGTGACCAGATTTTATACTATTAAAAAATACTGTTACCTATGTAACAGTACAAAATTCTTAGTCACGTGGTACACTTGCATTAACAGTAAAAATAACTCCCAGAGGCCTATGGGAAATTAGCATTACGAAAAAAGTGAGGGGTAATAATGCTAAATGTTTACTTTTGTAAATTAGTATGGTGTCTTCATATTTGATTGCTCTTTCTTTAATTGAATGAATGCAAATACATGTTTTCTATAATCCAACAAATAAATCTTTATATCTTGATGTGAAAATACCAGTCAAAACAGACAATTATTATCGCCCCTCTCTCCCTGTTTAATTTTGAGTACTGAATTTTAAAAATGGTTTCTCTTCTTGAATGCTTTTTCACTTATTATCTCATTTGATATATACATGTAAATTGTTTACAAAGTTTTTTATCTTTCTTGTTTCAGCAATACAATTATGTTTGCGATTTCCGACAAATATATGAAGAATACAAAAGAGAGAATGAGACGGAGGCAAGGTCAATCTCAAGGTGACATCGTCCAACTAGTTCAGGAAAAGAAACATTATTTATAAAAGTGCTCAACATCATTTTATTTAAAATAATAGCAATTGCGTCTTGCTTATACATGTAAATATGACAATTTGTTTGGCTTACATGGAATAATATTAATGAAATGACTGCATAACTACTTGTTTAAAATCATCGTGTTATCATTTTCATTTATTTACTACAGTAAACGTTTTGGATGAATAATTCCATAATTACCAACATTCACAGGGGAGAATTGCTTGAGGGAGGGTATAAAATTAATGTAGTTTTCCTAAAGTGATATTAAAATGAAATTATGATGTTTATTTATTGAATGAGTCACAACATATTGAGTTTTAGGTAACAGCCAGATTAATGTTGACATTCTGAGCTCATATTTACGTTTGTGCAGTGCATGTTTAATATACTATTTATACCTTTAATATTTATGAAAAAGTGTGTTTTTCCTTAGTTACATACAATGTTATTTATTTAAATTAGACAAAATCTCCTGTTAAGGAGATGTTCAGTGGGATTATTATATTTTCTATAGTGATTTCTTTGATTACAATATGTTCCACACTATTCCTCTTCAGTTGCTTTTTTTAAATTATTTTAAAAAGAATTGAGATTTGAGGAGAAGTTGACAAATACTTGTGGCAATTCAGTTATTATTTGAACACTTATTTATTTGGTATAAAGTCACTTGATATATGGGATGGTGAAATCATAATCAGTAGTCAAGTAATCAACAGTTATCAGTAACCAAAGTCATTTTCAATTACATGTAATTGTAATTTGATAATTTTCAAACCTAGATTTTGTTGTAATCATTGATTTTCATTTTGATTACTCTCTAAAGGCTGGTAAATGACTTAGAATAGTTTTCTACTTGTGCTTAAACAAGACAAATGAAGAAAATTCTTGAAAATAACAATGAACATTTTGAAGTATTGCATTTTTGCAGCAAGGTGAAAAAACTGTTAACAGATATCTTTGTAACTTAAGTCTAATTTTGTGTCTCTCTTATTTTTGTCTCATTCTATTTTGTATGCATTTTTCCTTTTTTTGAAATAAAGAAATAAGATTTGTTTTAGGAATGTGTAATTTTGTTTTGTGATTATCTTAATATCTATAAATTAAAATAACTAACAAAGGTAGGTACAATTCTATGTCCTGTGTGACTTGCTACATTATGAGGGTATGTTGATAACCCTTACAAAAGATTGCTTTAAAGAAATGTCTTATCCTAGTTAAATACATTGATCAAAATGCATGAAAAAGCAAGTCTAAAACACATTTCACTGTTTTTTATTGGATTATGACAAAATGAAGACAAAATGTCTTTGGCTGAATGATCCTTTAAAACTCAAAAAGACACCAGCTTGAGCTTGTATAATGATAATCTTTTGTCTTATTTAAATAGATAACAATATTAACAGCGAATATCTCATTTCATTTTACTCAACTATTCGAAGAGCAAGGACAGCTATTGTACTCGCCCAAGCGTCAGTTTGGTTAAATTTTTGTGTGAAATTTCTTATCTGCAAAACTATTAAAGGGAAGGGGTTGAAACTTCACACTCTTATTTGAGAGCGTAATAGGAGGTCACTTCTAAGGCCAATAACTCTAACATGGATTTGGACAGATTTATGGCCCTTTTGAAAATTCTACATTATCCAAGCTCTTGTATTACTATTAGTCTATCTTTACACTGACAAGCACGCTGTTCTATCAACAGCTGTTGGTTTTTCTTGGATAAAAAATTTTGGTTACAAAAGTAGATCAAAAGTGTATTGTCAGTTTGTCTGTAAATGATATCTGATGATTAAAATAGTACACGAGCTTTGTTAAAGTAACTTGCCATACAAATTACAGTTTTCTGTTTACAAATGTATGTCAGTCACTTATGTGTAGATCATACAATAGGCTTGCTGTGTTTACAATATCAACAAAATGTCAAATATGAACTGATAAGGACAACATTCATAGCCTTCATTTATTGAGTTATTTTTGATATTTGATATATACATATAAAACAAGCATGGACATAAAACTTTTATGGGGAGTTTGAAGTCAATGGGTACGCAATGGGGCTAAACACTACTTTCTACCTTCCTCATGTTTTTTGTTAGGCTTTTCAAAAGTGTCAAAGTAGCATGGACGAGCATCTTTTGCCGAGTTTGATATTTGTGGACATTCTGACTTTTGTAATGTTTCCAACAAAAATGATTTGCTATGAGCTAGTGATTCAATACGATTGGATTACCATTCGTTACACATGATTTGCATTAAAATAAAACTATGTGATAAATACTGAAAAGTTTATTATTTCAAATACAATGAACACATTACCAGAATTTACAAAATCATAAATAAAAATAGATAAAAACTACTTGAGAAATGCATACACATGGGATATAAAATACAATAAAAAAGTAGATTATTAAAGCACACAACATTTGGAAGTACAAGAGTGAGCTGCTTCAAAACTATCGGGTATTTCTATAAAAAATAACCTACTACAATTGTCAAATTGAGCTGATTTAGTGTTTAATAAATCTTTACATTAAATGCAAGACAGAAAATTTTACAATTATTTTTATTTTTTGGTTTAGTCACACCAATATTGTCAAGGTCATAAGATGATTTTCCAATTTTCATGGTGGCGGAAGACCTTTGGTTACATGAGTAGATCCATCAAATTCCTGTAAGCTATCTGGGTAGCTTTATGAGATTCAAACTCACAGATGTGAGAGCCCAGTGGTTTAAAGTCCGGGACCTTTATCACTTGGCCATGGAGCCCATCTTTATACATTGTTCAAGGTCTCCCTTTGTTATGTTCTATTAACAAAATTAAAGTTTTTGCTTTATAAAGTAACATGCTTTATAAATATTCTTTGCATATTAAGAATATAACAAACAAAAATAAAAACAAGAGGTATTCTTGAAATAATCTAAGAGTACACAGATCTGAAATATACAACAAAAAATGTATTAATCTCAAAATTATACAGTACAGTGTAGTCCTGTCATTTTCAACATTTTTATAGTAAATTTACTATTACACAAAAAAAACTATTTTTAATATTTTCATTTAAAAAATCATTATGGTGTAATTGGCTTACATATTCAATTCTGAAACAGAAAAATATTTAGTGAACGATATAAAAGAAGTAGTAGGCCAGAATTGCAGACTTAGGTAAACAAGTCTGTTCACAATGCTTTATGACTTTGAGCATATAATTAAAGTACAATGTATCAATTAATTAAGCCTACAGATAGATACAAATTCAATAGTAAAAATATATATACATATAATGCTGTAAAATAACAAAGAAACTGGCTTCATGCCAGTATGTACAAACATTAAACTATGATTACATACAATATGTATTAAATATAGAGATTAAATCAACAACATGTAAAAAATATTTTTTAGATCAACTCTTCAAAACTACAAGGCATAAGAATAATCTTGTAAAACTTTACAGCTATTAAGAACTATATTGGACTGTCTATAATTAGCAGAAAATGTCTTTTATTGTAAAATATGGAATCATATGAAATTACTTAAACTGGAAGAAAGATGTTCGTAAATTTCTGACAAAGTAGGTACATAAGTCTGAACTCACATCACTAAATGACAACCTACTGAAAAATCAGAAATATATTTAAACTTTTTTTCTGATATTGCCTTAAGATTTTATGAAAAAAAATATCAAAAGTGTTAAGTTTGAGGAAGAACTAAATTATCACATAAATATAATGTACACACTCTTTCTTGACATATAGAATGAAATGGAAGTTGTAAAGTACAATAAACTTTAAAAGGCTACAACCTGTTTCTAAAATTCAATATTGCACTGACTTATTGGATAGACAATATGTATTAATTTCATTTGGTACATAATATCTTTTCAGTTTTGTGTCACAATGTGTGTATTTTTCTTTAATAACACATCTCAGTCCATGAAAACAATCATTTGCAATCCACATATTCAAATTGTTTTTTTAAGATAATATGAGATGTAACAACTGGCAGATCTAGACATGTTCTCTACAAATTCTCGACTTTGTGGGCAAAAGCAAATATATGTTTTGCTATTTCTTTCTGGAGCTCTTCTTTTTTAGCATTGGGATGGTCCTTGACATATTTAGCAATTCCTGCTATCGTCTGAGTCCTCAGAGCATCAACTTCCCTCTCCCCACTCATCCGCTGGTAAATCTCATATCTGAAGTTAAATAAAAGATTTTATAAATTTATATTATTCATTATGCACACATGAATGAAGATCAGGTTGTACATGTACTATATTTTGCATTTGATGTTATCACATTTTAAATAGCATTAAGCAATTGGAAATGAAGGAAGTTGAATCAAAATCATATTTCAAATAGTTAAAATTTTATATGTTTTTTTTTTAAATACTGCAGTTTAGATTGTTTGGGAAAGGTAGGGGATGGTTAGGCCTAGGGTACTGGGTAGTGACCAGTTAACATGCCAGGCTATATCAGGAGTAGATAGTGTATAGAAGGCTCATCGAGTATTTGCCTCCCCTAATCCCTCCTGAGGAGTGCATGTCTGTCCATTGATTTTCAGGTGAAAATAGTCTGGGGAGGATCTAATCATCTAGTTTAATTTATTCGGCATGAACTGTTTGACCTATTTATAGTTCTGGCTTCCAAAACTTTCTATGCTGCTTTTTAATATTTTTGTTTTTCATCTGTTACGAAACTTAACCAGAATACAATGTAGTATCAATTGATTTAACCTTTTCATTTGCAAATACCCTTGTCCCAATTTACTCTTGTGCATTTTGCGATAAAACAATTATTTTAATATCGTTCTATACCATTTAAAATATCAAAACATTAATACTGTTATTAAAATTGCCTATTTAACAGTGAAACATCAATTACGCCGACTACAGTCGGCCAAGACATTTAGGAGCTTCGCGAGACCTACTACTGTGTGACATCATTCGCGGGAACCAATTAGAGAAGAGTCGTGGACTTTATTTAGAACATCTTTGTTGACATGATTTCAATATTTATAATTCAAGATAATGTTTTTATTTATTTTCTTTTTTTTTTCAGTACTTTATAATGAAATTATATTGAATACAAAAGTCAGTTTATCACCTTTTTTAATATCTTTAAAAAAGTAATTTATAATAAAGTTGGAAGCACATGGGTTCTGTTTTCATAAAGGTCAATCACGGGTCAAACAATTTGGCAATATGGCAGCCAAGTGCTGAATTTTTTACCTGTCAGAAACTATTAGGTAGTTTATGTTCGCAATAAGTTTTTCATACGTCCATTCTTGCCTTATTAACAGATTTTACATAGTTTTATCAAGGTATGCTTCACTTTACTTCATGGCATGTTCGATGAATGAATATGAGCGTGTCAGTTTCCTTGCACGATTGTTGGTGGACTTTCCCTATGGGTCTGTCTTCAGCTTTCACGTCATGTCATAGTATATAAACAGGTACGCTGAAGACCTTAAGCTACCTATTTTACAGACTTTTTTTTTTCATACTGTGAGACGATTAAAACATCGCTCGTCCAATATTATCTCAATGTCTCTTTGACAAGTCTAATTAGTTGGACTAGAGGTGGAGGGGGGGGGGATTTAGTCAGATTGATCAAATAATCATATTTTTTTTTAAAAGATCACTTCTTAATAAAACTTAATGTAATCACAACAGAAGCCTTGTAAATTGTAAGTTATTATTGTTGAAGAAACTGAATCCTTTACGAACCCAACTCTGAATGAAGACAGTTTTTCTAACATTCCAGAATCGCCATTTTGGATCCATTGAAGAGTTGCAATCGTCTGCAACATATCTGCATTTCCTAAAGAAAATGAACTTAAATCCATTTTTTTTTCTTAATAAAATATTACTTCCGGGATAAAATCAATGTCAACGAAACGCTTGCAAAAACCGGTGATAAAAACATTACCATACTATTTGAAACGCAACTTTTCGGCCCTTTCCGCTAGTCTTCGGATAAGTTTTTTTAGCGTCCATGTACGGATATATTAAATTCGGTCATATGTTTTGCATAACACGTAGACATTTGTAAATATAATGCCTACTGTATTGAGTTGAGTTGTTTATTTTTTGCACGGGAGAAAAGTGAAAGAAAATACTGAAAACGAAGACTTTCTCGTCGACAGATACTTTCTAAAATTGACAGACAGAAATATGTGCGGTGTATGCAAGCTGTGCAACAGTCATTATTTGAATTATGTGATTTGAATTTGTTTCTTGACATTGATATACCTTGTATATATATACTACATAGTGGTCATCTACCCGTGACGCTTTTTTCTACACAAATCCACGTCCGATTTGTCATTGAGGCCCGTCATGGGTGTTACAATTGATATATGGAGAGGGCGTATAGGATGTTTTAGTCAACCTTGTAAGACCAGGAATAGAACTCAACATTTAACTTTAAATAAAGGCTATGTCTGCTTGAGCATTTGCATTGCCCTTTTTCTGCTTCTCACTTTGATTGGTGGTATTGAGCCAAATCCCGGCCCCGGTCCCGGTACGAGGAGGGGTAGTATTTCAAATGCACGCAGTGCTGTAACTAGATCAGGTGGGAGAATCGCGGAAAATCCAAGAGGCCAACAGGAACGTGAAAATGATTCATTCACAAATACACAGTCAACTAGTTTGAATAGTTCTCAATCTACTCTTAATACGTGGTTTCAGGCTAGTCCAATCAATAACTCTGATGCAGCGTCTCGTTCAACTGGAGCAACAAGTAATTCAACCAACAGTCCTGTGCGAAATACACCTGTAAATGACACTATGCCCATGTCTATTTTGTTAGATATACAAGCTCATGTTCGCGGTTTAGACAGGAAATTTGACACACTTGAGCAGTCCATTAATGACTTAAAATCAGAGAAATTTAAACTACGTGAGCAAAATGTAAAACTGACGGGCAAAGTAGATAAATTAGCAACTCTTGTTAACGAGCTAGAAATCTCAAATAATTCTATAAACGAAAAACACGAACAGCTTGAAAGTCAGTCAAGGCGCCAAAACCTTATATTTTATGATATAAAAGAATCGCATAAAGAAACATGGGAACAATCCGAGCAGGTAGTACGTGACTATATTCGTGATGAGCTTAATATGAACGAATCTGATATAAGAATAGAAAGAGCACATCGTTTATACAGTAAAAACAAGCCTCGCCCACTTATTGTTAAGTTCTCCTTCTACAAAGACAAGGAAACTGTGCTGAAGAAGTATCGCGAAATCACCAAGGCAGCGCGTAATCAGCGTAACCATGACGACAACATTAGTGGCCCAGGGTCAGACCGGCACAATGATGTTTCTTCTTCCGGTTCAAATGTTAGGATCAGTGAGGACTTCCCGAAACGAGTTAGAAATATACGTGCCCTTTTAATACCTTTTCTAAAAGAGGCTATTAGCAAGGGTGAAAATGCGTTTTTACGATATGACAAACTCGTCATAAATCATCGTGTTTATTCATACGACAATGAGAAAGAATGTCCGGTTCCGGTTACAAGATAGGAGATCGCCAAGGTCCCAAGTACCAACAATGACAACTGTCTTCAGTCTTTTCAAAACTCTAATGTTATTCTCCATGAAACAAACTTTGGGCATCACTTCCGCAATGAAAATGACTATTCTATTAATATTGATTTAAAGATGTGTTCCTGGAATATTGAAGGATTAAAAAAATATTATAATGATATTAGCTTTCAGTCATACTGTTCACGCTTTGATATATTAAGTTTCTGTGAAACTTGGGGTGTTTCAAATGATGAATTCGAAAACTTTTTACCTGGATATACAAACTTTAACTTTTGTAGAAGAAAGAAGAATACAGCTGCACGTGGTTCCGGAGGCGTGACGGTTTTTGTTAAAGACTGGTTGATCAAACGTGGGTCTATAAAACGTATATTTGATAATATTACTGAATGTGTAGTGCTATTAATTAGTGCTGAATCTATGATTTATGTGAATGATGTTATTCTTATATTTACATATGTATCTCCAGAATACTCGTCTATTTATTCGATTGAAGATAATAATGGTATTGAAATTTTGAATACAAGTATTAGTCAGATTAAAGGTAAATATCCCGATGCAGAATTATTTTTGGCGGGAGATTTAAATTCACGTATAAAAAACTTCAATGACTTTGTGTTAGATGATAATCTATTGTTTATATTTGGTGATGATGTACCATACCCAGAAGATGATTTTAATATGCCTAGATTATCTAAAGATACAGAGTTTAATCGTTTTGGATTATCACTTATTGAATTATGTTGTACTTATGGTATACATGTACATGTTTTTAATGGAAGATTTTTTGATGATATTCCTGGTAACTATACTTGTTTAGCAAATAATGGAGCCAGTGTTGTAGATTATATGGCAGCTACTACTAGTTTGTTTAAATATGTAACATATTTTAAAGTTGATAATAATGACGAGTCTGTACATTTTCCTATTATTTGCCATTTTTCATTCCCTTCTATAGGTAGTCAAAATCAGTATAATTTTGAAAATGGTGAGAATATGTCACCATGGCTGAAGTATAAGTGGAAACCAGAATTCAAAGAAAATTTTATAAATAATCTTACGCCTAAGTTTCAACAATTTGATGAAATACGTATTAATTCACAGAATAGAACTTTGTCCTCGTTTCTTCCAGACTTTTTAGATATCTTAAAAGTTTCTGCAGATGATATGAAATGTAAACATCACAAAAACGTATCATCTCAACCATTATGGTGGGATAACCAATGTCAAATTCTAAAAAGAGATAAAACCCGTTTTCTTAGACAGTTCCGGGTTTCAAATGAAAGAGATGATTTAATAAAATATAAAACGTCCAAAAACAAATTTAAAGCACTATGTAAAAATAAACAGTATTTTCACTGCAAAGCTAAACGGAAGCTGTTGGTTGATTCCAGGAAAAATGCAAAACAATTCTGGAATATTCTTAAAAAAGGTAATAGTAAAGAAAATGCAGATTCTTTAATAACATGTAATGAATGGTATGATTATTTTAAATTACTCTTGAATCCTGTAACTGGGGAAAATAGTTCTATCGATGAGCAGCCCGTGGTCAATGTGAATCGTGATTACTTAAATTGTGACGAAATTAACGTTCCTATATCTGATCTAGAAATAATGCAAAGTATAGACCATTTACGTGCTAACCGGTCGCCTGGACCTGATGGTGTCTGCTTAGAAATGTACAAACATTCTATTCATATAATTTTACCATTTTTGAATGCTCTTTTTAATGAAATTTTTGAAAACGGAAACTTCCCAGAAGAATGGAGTCAAAGTATTATCACTCCAATACATAAGAAAGGTTCTAAATCAGATCCAAATAATTATCGAGGTATTTCTTTAATAGATTCCCTATGTAAAATATTTGTTAATATATTAACTATTCGTCTTACTAAATGGTGTGATAACTATAATGTAATTGATGAGTCTCAAGCTGGATTTAGGAAAGGCTATTCAACAATTGATAATATTTTTACTCTAATGTCTTTGATCCAGAAGTACCTGTCGAAGAAACGGGGTAGATTTTATTGTATATACATAGATTTTGCAAAAGCTTTTGACAGTATTCAGCATCAAAAATTATGGGACGCTTTTTCTAGAAATAAGATCAATGGAAAATTTTTAATAATAATAAAATCTATGTATGCAAAACTTAAATCATGTGTTAAAGTTGATGACAAACTAACAAGCTTCTTCTCATGTAATACTGGAACAAGGCAGGGCTGTGTTGGAAGTCCGATAATTTTTTCACTTTTCATAAATGATCTAGTTACTTTTTTGCATGAAAAATGTAATAGAGGTATTTTTGTATCCAATGACATTGAAGAGTTAATTGCTCTTATGTTTGCTGATGATGTGTCTAGCTTTTCTGACACCGTTATAAATCTACAGCAGCAAATAAATTATATTGAAGATTATTGTAAATCTGTTAAGATGAAGATAAACTTAAGCAAAACGAAAATCATTGTTTTTAGAAATGGCGGTGTTTTGAAACAAACTGAAAAATGGTTGTTTAATAATGAACCTATTGAAGTTGTTCCATTTTACAAATATTTAGGTGTATTTTTCACACCAAAGTTAGTATGGTCCAAAACACAAGAGATGCTTGCACTACAAGGACTTAAAGCTTCTGCTTGTATATTCAATTTTCAAAGACAATTTGGTCACATTGATCCTATTGATATGTTCAAAATTTTTGATTCAATGGTAAAACCTATATTGTGTTATGCGTCAGAAATCTGGGGTTATAATTATGTTGATAAGATTGAATCTGTACAAGTTAAATTCTGTAAACAATATTGTAACTTGTCACAAAATACAACAAGCTATTTTGCTCTTGGTGAATGTGGAAGATTACCTCTCTGTACTATCTATATGACAAATTGTGTTAAATACTGGTTAAAACTGACACGTATGGGAGATCATAGGTACCCAAAACATTGTTATTTGATGTTAAAACGACTACACGAATCTGGACGGAAAACATGGGCTGGCAATATTAAAGATATGCTATTTCAATTTGGTTTTGGATACGTATGGATCTCTCATGATGTCGGTGATGACTTGAATTTCATTAATATGTTTAAGCAACGCTTATTTGATTGTTATTCACAAAACTGGCATAATGCTGTTGATTCTTCTCCTAAAGCATTACATTACAAGTACTTTAAGACTTTACTTAATGTTGAACGATATTTAAGTTTAGATTTAGCATATAAGTATAGAAGAGCTTTTTCTAATTTTCGCTGTTCATGTCATAATCTTATGATAGAGAAAGGTAGACATATTGGAATAGATAGAGATTTAAGATATTGCTTTCATTGCCTAAAGACAAATATTTATGTTATTGAGGATGAATATCATTTTTTCTTTGAATGTTCACTATATAACAATATCAGAGCTGTCTATTTTAAAGATACATGGTTACATCATCATTCCCACCATTTATTTTATTCTCTCATGTCATCAACAATAATAAATGAAGTAATATCTATTGCTAAATATATATATTATGCAATGAATGTAAGAAAGGAAGAGATAAATACTGTATAATTATTTACAAATTCAATTCATTACATCTAGTAACAAATGTAGTTGCAATTTATCACTCTACTGTTTGATGTATTGTTGTACTTTGTATTTTGGGCCTGAGGCCTATATTACTAGAAAATAAACTGAAACTGAAACTATAACTTTCAAATTAATTATGTTTTTATGATTTTACTTTTACCAGTGTGTTATGAAAAAATGCACATTATGAGGTTATAATAAATTGTTTGATAGATTTGAATGGTATTGAATGAGTACACAGTTGTTGAATATATTTCAAATTAATTAATATGTTTTTATGATTTTACTTTTACCAGTGTGTTATGAAAAATGCACATTATGAGGTTATAATAAATTGTTTGTTAGATTTGAATGCTATTGAATGAGTACACAGTTGTTAAATATATTTCTTCTTTTTTCTATTGGCGTAATTAAGAGTAACTTTTACATATTTCTATCCACGAAGTTATTGGTGTAAGAGGGCCTTTCACATAATGTCTACCTATTACTAATCGGATATATATATTAACGGTAAATATATGGTTATATGATGGTCAATATACGTACCTGTACTAATTAATGGAGTAAAAGTTACTTTGATATATGTCTACTCATTACTAATGGAGAAAGATTTAGAGTACTTTAGAGCGCATGTATTTGGCTCATGTTTATTGTAAATATCAACAATTGTGCCATATATTTTTATATTGTCATTTGCTAAAATGAACCTCTCATATGATAAAATATTTTATTTCACATAATGTAAAATGTAACCAATTAAAAATATGATCTTCTAGCATTTTTATCACTTGACATGTTCTTTTATAAATAATTATTGGATCTCATCTTATCAATTAAGCCTCATTTTTATTTCCCGAGTCCAAAAAAAAACCGTATCAAATACATATTCTACTCCATTACTCCATTTAGAGTTGTTTTTATTCCATGAATCCCAAATTCCATATCAAATTCAATATTAATATTGTACTCTATCTTGCTGCGTTTTCATTTCCCGTGCCAAAAGTAACCACAGACTGTAATTTAAGTCCGTGATGTAACTGTATCCTAATATATTTTTTTCTTTTGTTTTGTTTAAATTATTGTGTTTTCTCTTGAAGAATCTGTGGTGTGCAAAAAAAGAGGTTGGCGCCTCATCCAATTATATACTGGAAAAAAGAAAAGAAACTTCCCCTGTATTTAAGTGCAGAAATACACAAATATGAAAATCAGGATTAAGTAGACTGTATTGAAAGAGTATTTTATTGATTTTTTTGTAAAAAAATATTGCTTAAGGTTTATCCAAAAGTATTGAAATGGTTGTTTATTTGTTTAATTGGGAACGTTGTACGTCACACCGACACATTATAGGTCATATGGCGACGTTACAGCTTTACTGGTGAAGGACGACCTCAGGTGTCCGTGCATTAATTATTTCAGGCAGGTACGAGCACCTGAATAGAACCACATACGTTCCGTAAGCTAGCTGGATAGCTTCCTCACATGAAATCTTCCAAAGTCCGTGTCCTGATTAGAACCCACAGCGGTGAGGGGCAAGTGGTTTGAATTCAACGACCTTAACCACTTGGCCACGGACGCCCCCTAGTGAAATGGTAGGTAAAGTGCAGAAGGGGTTGCCCAACAAAATCACAAATTAATATCGGGTATGACCACCTCAGCATGAAGGCATTTAATGCCAGCGTATTGATTTCGGCTTGTGGAATGTTGTTTCATTCCTGAATTAAGGTAGTCTTACTGTAATGCTTTTCCGCCATCGGCCCATCGTAGCAAATCGGTTATTTCCGGAACTTTATTTTTTATCAAAATCTTGGGCATTAGATTATTAACAATCACTCATCCTTTATCGCTATGTACTAAATAGAGGATATTGAATGAGTGTAAGTTCAATACTGAATTTATTGCACAAGTTGAATAAAATTATATTATGCGAGCATAATATTATTTTATTCAACGAGTGCAATAAATTCAGTAATGAACTTACACGAATTTAATATTCTATTTATCACATACCCAAAATAAAGACTGTTTAAAGTGAAATAAGAGTCATTTTTCACTGACGCGCCTATAGTTCAACGCTAACATTTAGCGCTCTTTACACTATGTTTGTATAACGCTAATGACGTCACGTCAAAATATATGCACGGCCGTGCAATACCATATTTACGGAGTCGCAAAATCGGCACGGGTGTGTGATAAATTCCGATCATAAATGGTTAAGATTATTGAATACCGAATATTGTGAAAAATAAGGTTCCGGAAATGACCGATTTTTTACGATATTGTTTGATGTTAGAAATTTTTGGCGGTAAAGCATTACAGTATGACTACCTTAAGGCTTGTCTTATGACGGGGAAACAAGGCGACGTTAAATACACGCTGCTCCAAATATCCCAAAGGTGTTTAATGGCTTTTGGTAGGCCAGTCATAATCAAATGCAATGTTATTCGCACTGAGGAAATTCACAGTGTCCCTAGATGTATGACTTGTGACATAATCATGTTTAAAAGAGTGTTATTGGCATTATTTCTTATCTCCTACTGTACATCAGCTCGATGAATGGAAACCCTCGACTCGTCAGAGAAAAGAACGTTATTCCTTTTATCACGATTTACGCGGCGACGTCGCCTCAAAACACGTATGGTTGGCGTCAATGTAGCCCACCTTTGCGCACAGTTTGGCAGATATACGGTTGATATTGTGTAACAGGGGTGTTAGCTGCAATAGCTATGGCAGTTTGGAAGTGATTGTGCAGGTGGGTGTTCCGAATATAGCGGTCTTGGGCAGGCGTCATGACGCACGGAAGTCCACTACGTGGTATATCTTCTGTATGTCCTGTTGCTTGAAACGTTGCCTAAGGTGTAGAATAGCAGGAGTAGAACAACCAATATTCATAGCGACAGCATTCATCGTCACTCCAGCATTAATTAAGCATGCCAATCGCACGTTCGCGTAAATTTTGTGAAACTCTAGGCATATCATGAGTCTATAAAATTACAATGAAAGGTTTCATAAAATATACACGGATCTACAGCTGGTCCATGCATGCACGTGAAAATCGCGGTCAGCTGGTTTCTCCTGCAATTCGGACACACAATCGTCTTCCCGAATATATGTATCTCATTTGACATTTTGATTTTTTTAAATAACACTATATCTCCACTTAAACACAGGGGAAGTTTCTTTTTTTTATCAGTATATATGTAAAGGTTATCACTTTTGGGGATATCAAGATGAAAATTTATAGTTGTCAACCAAAATGCATTAGCTAAACTAGCTGTATACTGGTGGCAATGGCTTATCACTTTCTGTTCCAGCAAGGTAAAGGTTAGTCCAATATTTTGACTGCAAGATTTTACTAACTGATATTACACAGACGTCGGTCTTTTGTTGGGCTAGGTAAAGGTTAAAAAACTTGTGTTCTTTCCCTGTATATGTGACCTTGAAACAAATAATAAAACATAAAAGAAATCATTCATTTTTTTATTTTAATTAATAAATGTGATTTAAATATTGTAACAACAATAAAAATACATAAGACTAGGTAACTATCTGTTTTTCTGTTCCTGATAACTTTCACTATGTTTAGAAGGTTACATGAATTTGATAATACATAATTCAAGACAGGGGATATATGGCCGGCATAAACACAACAAGAAAAAGTCATGTATAAAAATATATACTGTAAGAAATAATAAATTCAATTTCAATATTACTTGTATTTAATACATATTTTTACAAAATAGGTTAATGATTGAAAGTGGTGATAAAATCAAGCATATAAATTTAGAAAAAATATGTTTTGTATTTGGATAATTCTTTTAAAAAACAACTTTTGTGCACCAGTGACATGACATTGTATATTATCTAGCAAAATCAAATTGCATAAAACTTAACCATATTGTGCTAAAACTATATGATTTTTTACAAACAATTATTGATGCTTAAACAAAAATTATAGTAAAAACCATTCAAATGAAAATACTTTTTCACACTGTTCTATCACACTGTTCTATAAATTCCATCTGTTGAAAATACAATTTTGATACCAAATATTGTTTGGCAATGTTTCAAAATAGTCTAAATTCATAAATAACTTTTCTGAGTTTGGTGTAATTTCGTTGTACCATACACAAAGGGAGGTAATCAATAAATTATTATGATAATCATATGCAATAATATATGTATACATTGTATATATATATATATATATATATATATATATATATATATTTTTTGAAATAATACTCTGCAAATCCATTGCAATACATTTATATTACCATTTTAATTTTTACTTATAGAGCATGATTTAAAATTTTACAGAAACTATTTATTTTGAAATTGTGAATATTCATCAAATTAATATAATAATGATTAACAATTATTATACATAGGCATGCTGGAAGGGAAAACAAACTTTCTAAATTGTTTCAAGTGATTTTGTCCATTTCGTAAAGTGAATAACAGTTAGTATGGCAATAAATAACCTATTCTTTGTATCTTTTGTTCTAATTTAGATTGAACACCTTTAAACTATTGGTCGATATTCTATCCAATTTTTTCTATTCAAATTCTATCCACTTTGTGAGCAAAAGCAAAAATATGTTTTGCAATTTCTTTTTGAAGATCCTCTCTTTTTGCTTTTGGGTGGTCTTTTACATATTTTGCAATGGCAGCTATTGTTTGTGCTCTAAGGGCATCCACCTCTCTTTCACCACTCATCCGCTGGTAAATCTCATATCTGAAATAAAATTCTATTTGAAAGACCCTGTTCGGGGGGAAATGTCTATACAATTGTGTGAAACATCTTTACAAGTTTAAAGGGAAATGACTCTATAAAAATTCTATTTAAAATGAAGACTGCATTATAATACACTTATTCTTTATAAAGTCCGAATCACGAAACTGCAATGGTACGAAGCCTTTCAAGTTTCAGCTTCAACATACCCTAGTCGAACTAATTTTAGGCTACTGCGTAACGAGATATGGAGCTATTTTCGTGTCTGGGCAATATCTCGCCTCTGGGCAATATATCGCCTCTAAAAGCGAGATTTTGCTCCAAACGAAAATATCACATAATCTAGCTTTGGCACGTCAATATATTTTGACTACAACATACCCAAGTCTGAACATGGCAACTTTCTCACTCATTGCCGAGTCGCCGTGGATCCATTGTAATGCAGCGATCGTTTGGATTATATCAGCATTTCCCATAGACCAGTCACTGAAATCCATTTTCAATCAAAATATCACAATTTCCCTTTTCTTTCAATAAATCAATAGGACAGTTTGCGTATATTTCAAAATTGACAGAATGTTACTTCCGTAAACAAACATAGACGCTTTATCGGATACCATAAAGCATCTGAATGATAAAAAGCCTTACCATACGGTAAGCAAATGTTTGTTGGTCAAATCCGCTTTTGCATTTTCCGATAAACGCAAAACTGTAAAAAAAGAAAGAACATCCGATGTCTTTCAATGAAGGATTAATTTTTGGGAGCTTGTAGTATATACTATTATATGTAAATACATGTAATTAATGTAAAGCTGATTGAAGGGGTTTAGATATTCCTGTGATGTGTATAGCTAGCTCTTGCAAAACTGAAGTTTGGCAAAGATTTCTATGAATTCTATAAAGTCTATTGAGTCGAGTAAAGAAGTTTTTTAAAGACAGTATGGTACTTTTGGTAATTTGTACATGTATTTATTATTTCCACGTCACTTATTCAGGATTAAAAAATGGAGTCAGCTATAGACATATATATTTTTTAATGTTTGAATGATATGAAATAGCAGAGACATAGATAAATAGTTATCTATGTCTCTGGAAATAGTTAGAGATACAGATACCTATGTAGTGAATAAAGGAGGACCCAGAAACATTTTGCTTGTATTTATTGCTAACATGACCATATATCTTTAGTAAAACTTGTATTATGTTCTAGTTTTTAAGACGTTCATAAAACCATTTGGGTTGTGATCAGCTAAATCTTGTATAGGTAAATTGTTATGTAAATGGATACAATTAAAATCCTTTAAAACCAACCCGACTGAAAATGTAAGTAAACTGTAATTAGATTTTGTTCCCGGTATTTGCACATCTGTCCAGCCTGACATGATCCTGTACTGTTGGTAGAGCTCTCCTTTAAACTTGGCACCGACTTTTTCAAATTCAAAGCAGGGAAAATCCATAAATAAATCCCGATGAATAAGGGTTAATTGGAATAATTTATAATAATGGTACACAATTTATTGACATATTGACATTATTTTTGTTAATCTTTTTATGTCCCATTATGCCCCATAAATATTTTTATATATATTGGCCATTTCCCGAACCATACTGTGCTTCCTATTGTACATGTGACATTAGCTTTTTTTCAATTAGTACTGTTATATTAATTTTGAATGAAGTTTAAAATACTACTTTATTTACATTTGGCTACTTTTAAGACAAATAATTTCACATTTAGCGTTACTCTTGTCAGGAAATAAGAATCTAACATGATCTAAAGGGTCCATTTTAAATTTATAAACTCAATGTTGCCCTTCGAAAAGGACAAATCTATTTGTATCTGAGGCATACTATTACATGTCATGTGCTTTTATCTAATTTGTGGTTTTCAGTCATGCATTGGTAAAAGAAAGTACCAAGTTTAAGCGGTCACAACTTCAACTGAATAAAGTGATTTCGAGTTTTCAATGCTCGTTTTCACGTTGTCATACCTAAAACTTTACATCACTGTGCATTAAACTGGTCATATTCGACTTTCCACCATCATTGTTTCTTCTTTTCATCATATATTAATATATTTAAATAACTCATTCTCCTGTAAATCATGATTTTCTCAACTTTATGAATGTATTTACATAGAAACAATTAAGAAAACTTCTGTATAAGACAAATCATGTCCAAAGAGTAAAGCTTAGTCAAATGATATGTGTTAGTCAAATTGGTTTCTTTATTATATAATTTTGTGTATATATGTTTTGTTTATCACTTTTGAATAACTGTTCATTATATTGTTGATATATCATAACCTTATGCATATTATATGCCTTGGTTTTGAATAAAATCTTGAAATCTTGAAATACTGTTATATTTGAAAATGGCCATGATGGCATACCGTAAACCGTATTTCATTGACAATTTGATATATATGCACAACAAGTTGATATTTAAAGAAGATCGGTGGCTAAGTAGTTAATATGGCTTCCCTCGATCCGGGGTGTCGTGGGCGCGAGTCCCACTCGTGACACGGCAATTTAATTTCACACGAAGGGATCACTAGTTAGTTTCAGGAAGCGAGTACGGTTGCAAAAGCCAAAAGAAACATGACATTGTAATTCATCTATGGTTTGTTATAAGCTCTCAATTACTCATTACAACACGATCCCGGAACTGCGTTGAAATAACTACATCATTGTATTATAGTTTGGGGACTTTCTGTTGAAAAAGTGTCAGAGTTAAATCGTATACATATACATGCACAGTGCGGTAACTGGAGTGCAGGTATCAGTTACCCGCACTTCAGATCATGCCCGTTGATTGGCTCATTTTTGCTGGGGTTTACATATTGTGACGGCAGAGAAAGGGAAAGCGGGAGAAATATCATATTCAGATGCTCGATCATTGGTTACTATTTCCCGGGGTTTAAAATTGTGACAACAGGGAACGTGTTTTTATGTTTGACTATGATACAAAAGAGAAAGAACACCAAAACACTCGGCAATCTGATTTGTACTCGGGGGCTACGCCCCCTCGTACAAATCAGATAGCCTCGTGTTTCAGTGCTCTTTCTATTACTTATACTTGTGATAAACCAGCAGCACTAATATTTATTATACAATGTATGACCTATTATGTTGACTTTATAACTCTGTCTTCTTGGCGAAACATTTGGAAATAGGTTGTTTTTGGCATCGACAATATTTTGATTGACATGGTTAATTGATTGTTTTTGAGTTTTTAGTTAATTAAACAAAAATGAAATGAAAAGTATACATATAACACTATACATTTTCTGTAATTACATATTGATCACTCTAAAACAGTTCCTTTTTTCTTTTTTTTTAATATTGTATTTGACGAACGATTTTACCAGAGGAATGTCACAGTTTTATATCCTTGAACAAATATTACTTGAATACGCAATCTTGTTTTATATTAAATACGATCCACCTTTTGGGCAAATGCAAATACTTGCTTTGCAATTTCTTTCTGTATCTCTTCTTTGGATGCCTTTGGATTATCTCTTACATATGTAGCGATTGCATCAATAGTTTGTGCCTTTAAAACTTCAATTTCTCTTGCTCCACTAACTCTCTGGTATACTTCATACCTGCAATAATGAAATAATTGGTCAAAATACTTATTTCAGTCTTAAAGGCCCATTATGCTTAGAAATGCAATAAATTCTATTTCTTATTATGCCTTAGAAATGCAATAATTTTCATTTCTCAAAAACTTTATATCTTTTGGTATCTTGTCATAGTTTCCAAAAAAGTACTAATTTGCCACATAGATAAACTATTTTTTGCTTATTTTGCTCTGTTTGCAAATTGTTTATTTAGTGAATTAGTATTTTGTAAGTCAAAATACTTCATTATTTACATTTTGCCACCTTTACGACACATCACTGCATGTTCAGCGCTATTTGTTCCAGTTGTTGAATATCTAACACGCCCTTAATCCAGTATCAAAACATTATCAAACACATGTTTGGCATTTCTAAAGAATTAAAAATATATGGATGTCTAATGCATGATGTGCCAAAATTGACAATTTCCGTGCAATTACGTATATAAAGGCACGTTCTACCTTTCTTGAGGTGAGGCAAACATTCATAACAATGCTTTGTTGTTATAAACTGCCTTTCTTACTACATGTATTTGGATAAAAAAACAATATTCTACTATAATGCACCCAAATCAGTTCACAGTGTCTAATGAACCATTGATAATAATATGTGTAAATAGAATAGCTCCAGGTGTAACACATTATTAATCATTTCGTTATTAATGTCCTGAATATATTTGGCATCATTTATATTCATAATATATATTAATATTCATATTTTTACAGATCGAATTAGAAACAAGATACAAATGTACAACATTAGGTCAATGATCAAGTTGATGAATTTATACAGCACACAATAAGGAGATTTTATCAAGTTTTTTTTATAGTTGTCATTATTAGAGCTACAAAAGCATGTTATTCCTTAAAATTTGCATTAAAAGACTTTCACAAAACTTGACATGTATAAACTGCATTAATTGATTAACTTGTAAATAATTATAACAGAACAGAACAGACATTTTATTAGACTTATACATAAGTATATCATCTTAATACATAAACGTCAATGTTAAATATGTCACATATCTAGAACATATTACAAAAGTTTAATCAAATGCACTTTAACATATATTTACATATATTTACATACATGTATAACAAAGACAGTAAGGTAATAAGTATACTACAGAGCATCAGGTCATATTATTTGTAAATGAATTTCGAATGATAAATGCCTCTTTCATATATTTGCACAAATTAACAATATCGTTTTTATTTGAAGAAGTAAGCAAATCATGAAATTTAAAAACAGATGGATTGACAATATAAAAATGTTTGATATATTTCTTTCTTATTTGAGAATAGCAATTACATATACAAATAAAGTGGAATTCATCTTCAATATCTCTTGTGTTACAACATAAGCAATATCTTTCGTTTCTTGGTAAATTATTACGAGTATACCTCCCTGTTTGTATTCTCAAGGGATGCAAAGAAATTCTAAGTTTAACCAAATAAGTGCGTAATTTCTTTGGTAATAAATCTAAGTATATTTCATATTCAAGTGTAGTTTTAAATATTCTATACATATTCAAGACAGAGTTTGTGTTAATATTTCCATACAATTCTTGCTTAAAAGTATCTATCAATCTACATTTAAATTCACAAATAAATGCGTTAACATTTACAGAACTAGGGTTCTCAAATACATTTGAGAATCCGTAATTATCTAACATCCTCTTAACATGAGAAACCCAATTTGTATAACCGTTATTACAGTCGTCAGCGCTCATTTTATAAACAGATCTTATAATTATGTTATCACTCGAGCTAATTTTAAAAAAGTATTTAAGTACCCTAACATAGCGGTTTATATACAAAGGATATCTTCCCAACTCTCCATACACAGCTGCATTACTAGAATTTAACCAAACGTTTAATATTCGTTTACAAAACTTCAAATGGATGCGTTCTAATTCTTTAGACTTTGTAAAACCCCATATTTCAGAAGCGTATCCTAAAATTGAACCACGTGTAATACAATTTACTGCTA